AAACCCTACCCCCTAAGCCCTAAACTCTAAACCCTAGCCCCTAAGCCCTAAACCCTAAACCTCCCCTAGCATCTCCGCCTCCATGGCCAGCTTCGGCCCCTCGTCTCAAGGCTCGGAGAGGCCGAGAGTCCGGGGCCATTCCGACGAAGGAGCCGAGGTTTGGGGCTTTTAGGTTTTTTCTGGGGCTCGAGAGGGTTAGGGGTTTTTCGACGAAGGAGCCGAGGTTTGGGGCTTTAAGGTTTTTGGGGGTTCGAGAGGGTTAGGGGTTTTAGGGTTTTAAGCTTTAGAGCTTTAAGGTTTTCGGGGCTCTATTACGGTTACAGTAGGTGTTATAGGGTTTAAGGCTTGGGTTTGGGGTTTTCGGCTTTCGGGGTTTAGGGATGCAGGGGTTTAGGGTTCCATGGGGGGTTTAGGTGCTCTCCGGCTTGTGGGGGCTTCGGCGGCTTGGGGTAATGGGGACTCTCCTGGCTTCGGGTTGAGGGCTCGGGTCTTCGAAGCACCTTAGGGTTTAGGGTTTAGGGTTTAGGGTTTAGGGTTCAGGGTCTAGGCCTTCCTCATCACGTGGCTGTAAGATTCGTGCTACGTTTAGAGTTAGAACCTATGTATGTGTGTGGGACCATTCAAGGTTCGGAGCTTCTTGGGGCTTCAGGAACGTAGGTTGGTTTACAGTGAGACTGGGATGGCGAGGCTGGTCGTAACTTCCCAACTAAACGTGACGGTTGCTTCAGACAGTCATATGGAGGCCTTGATAGCTAGAACAGTTTATTTAATGTACCCTGCAACTACAATTCCTTCAGTTAGCACTACGGACTAGGTTGGCTAACTGTTCCGACCCCTAGCTTAGACCTTATAAAGTCTGTCGGAGGATGGGGTTTCTGAACCTGCGCAACTAGCTGAAAGCCAAGGCTCACATCGAAAGCAGGGCACCCCGTACAGGAAATATCAGGGCCTTATTAGCTGGAAAAAAGTCTCGGGGAGCGTCAGACTTTGAGTATGCTAAAAGGTAATGTTACGGTACGTGAAGCGATGAGTCCATGAAGGAGGGCCTCGCAAGTGCCCTAACTGAGGCTTGGAGAGGGAAAGAGGTCAGCGGAAAGCACTCAAAGCCTACCTGGACCGCCTGGGCCCTATAAACCCTACATCTTTAAGGACACATGCCCGACAATCACAATAAGGAGCTAGATCTCCATGGGTCGGATCCTTTCGGAATGCACCCGAACCCCTGCAGAGAGCACCAGATGAACCGAGAGCGCGCAAGAAGATGGATTTCAAACAACCGAAAGCTTTCCCAATAGCCCTCGTGAACCAATGACGAGTCTCATGTTCGGAGGGCCGAATCATCGAACAATCCCCAAACCCGAAAAGAGTAAACAAAGAAACAGACCCTAGACCTGCCTCCCACATCTAATCTAACCCAATATAGTATATGATCATTCACAGCATTATATAGTACGGTGCAAGGGTTATGATAAATATACACACCGCAGAAGACCGAATCACTTCGAACACCCGAAGCCACTAAGCTCATTCACAAGGGCATAGCTTTTCTTTTGCACTCCCCCCGTTCATTGGCGTTGCTGCGTCGAGTACGAAGGCATCCGCAGTGGCAGAGACGAAGCCGCATAGTTAGATCCTGCAAGAAAGCTTCAGTTTGAGGAGTTAGATGTGCGTTTGCGACGACCTATATATATATATATATATATATATATATTAGATATATGAGATATATATATATATATGGCTTAGGGCCAGAGCTAACATGGATCTCGTTGCGCTTTGTCATGCGTAAGGTAAGCTTGAAAGCCGTCCATGGGACAAGAAGCTTTCAGTTCTGCTGGGATTCGATGATCCCCAACAGCCTGTAACCCTGGATCTTCCGCAAAAAACTCTGAGGACTCGAATAAATGCTGGCAGCCCTAGCCTGGAAACCTGCAGGTCGGATGCACGTTGTCAGAAGTTCGAAGTGGTGGACTCGTCAAAATTCTATGCCTCCTGGTTTTGGTCAGCCGGCTCAGAGGCTGTTGCTTGCGGCTTGCGGCCGAGTTCTAAGTCGGAAGTGTTGAACAAGGCCTCCTGGGACAAGATGCATGCTCGGGGATACAAGCTCGAGTATGCCCACAAGCAACTGCACAACGTTGTTTGAGATGTGCATAGGTGAACTAAGTGCAACAAGTCACACTATGCCCTTGCAGGAGGCGGGACGGGGGCGGTATGACCTGCCTTGCACACATGGCCCCAAACTTTGCGAGGGCGGAACGGATGATCCTGAAACCTCAGGGCTCAGGGCATGCCACGCACATTAGTCGAGAAAGGTTGGATATGTATCGAACGAGAATGCAAGCAAACGAACAGAAAGACAAACAAACACACAAACACACAAGCAAACGTACAAGTCAGACCATATAATATACATGAATGAAGGAAAGAACGAAACAACGATTAACGAACGAAAAAAGGCGCAAAGGCATGAATGCAATGAAGAAGGGAGAGATAATTAACATCTTCATATACATGGGCAGACACAAGCACACACACACACACACGTGAATGAAATGAGACAGGTGCAGAGATTAACATATGCCTATCTGTGCTTGTATGTGTGTACATGCATGCATGCATGCATAGGTAGATAGATACATACATACACACATATAGATAGATACATACATACACACATACATACGCACAGATGTATAAACAAATACATATATATATATATATGTGTGAGTGTGTCTGTGTATATATACATATACACACACACACACATATATATATATGTATATATATATATACACAGGCTTTCGCTCGAAACTTTGAATGCAAAAGTTCATATAGTAAAGAAACAAACAAAACATACATGTATACATGTATACATGTGTGTATGTAAGTAAGTATGTATGTATATGTATGTATGTACGTACGTAGTACGTACGTAGGTATGTATGCATGTATGTATGTATGTATGTATGTATGTATGTACTTATGTAATTATGTTTGTATGTATGTCTGTTTGTATGTATGTATGTATGTATGTATGTATGTATGTATGTGTGTATATGTATGTATGTATGTATGTATGTATGTATGTATGTATGTATGTATGTATGCGTGTATTTATGTGCATGACCTACCTACCTACCTACCTACCTACCTATCTTCCTACCTACCTACATACGTGCATGCATACATACACAAATACATGCATACATTCACACATACATAAATACACCCATACATACATACGTACATGCATACATACGTGTATGCTGATCTACATTTTTCCATTTGCGTGCGGGAGAGTCTTGTACAAGCGCGCCCCTATGCAAACCAACCAACAAATGAATTTGTTGATCCACATACGCACATGCATACATACATACGTATATGAATATATATATATATATACATGTAATGATATATATATATATATATGCACTCATACGCACGCCATAAGCCCTCAAGCCTTTGCTTGCACCCAAAATCAAAGTCCTGTCGTGCTCACAGGCGGCCCGGGCATGTGATGTTGGGCTTCTGGGTTTGAGCTCGGCTTTGAGGTCTTCGCTCGATTAAGATAAACAACTTGTCGAACAAACACCTCAGGTATAACCATGCCCAGGAGAAGTTCAACATACACAACTATCTTCATTGCACGGATCGCCAAAAGCGTGTTCGGAAAACGTCCGAACCCCGAAATCCTCACAGCCAAAGCCCCGAGACAACTGCAAGTTCACACAAATTCCATCGCCCTTAGGGCACCGAAACCTCCAACAAGCAGAACCCATGACTGCTTTGCGCAAAAGCGCCGCTTCATCATCTTACACACAAAGTCCGAATTGGGGCTGCGACGGTGGCAAGGGCCGGTCGCAACGTCCTCGCATAAATCCCATGCGAAACTTCGGCTCCAGGCTCTATGGCATAGGACTTCGAGACCTGACCTGAAAACCTATGCGATGCCTCTGCCTTGACATCACAAAATTTGTGAGGTTCGTTTGCTGCGACATCTTCCCATAGGGCATGTTCAGGGCAGGTAACCCTGCCTCACGAATGCGGAGGTTCAAGATTGCTGGGAAGTGGGACATGCCGGCAGCGGTCTAGGTTGTAGGGCTAAGGTTCTATGAATTTGTAGTTGGCTGTGGACAAACAGCTTCTCTCGCTTTACCTTGCTGCTACGATGTCGTCAAACCGCAACAGGAACTCCAAAAAAACTGAACAGCCAGACATGGAACACGCAACTCATGCAACCCTTTTTCCCTCCCCACTCGCAGCTTCTACATATATATATAGATATATATACACATACATACCCGCATCTAGGACCTGAAACAAACTAAATTCTAAACTTCTAAACCCTAAAAGCAGATCTGCCTTGGATCCTTGATATGGTTTCTGCTTCCCTTGAAACGGCTTTGTGTATCAACTCATGCAAAGGGTTTCCACTGCAGCAGAGCATCGGTGCCGAAGCCGGGAGACTCACCTTCGAGCCGCAGCTTCTCTTGAGTGGACTACTCGTAGAGTTTACGGCCCTAAACCCTACCTTAAGAACCCAAAACCTACTGTTTGGTGGGTCCCTATAATCCCATATTAGGGTTTAAAATAAGAACCTACAAAAACATGGGTTTGGGGTTCTTAAGGTAAGCCCTAAACCCTTGCAGGGCCTGGACCTGCACAACCCTAGACTCACGCTGTAGTCGGACCTGCAAGCCCTGAAACCCTAAACTCAACTCTAAACCTGAACCCCATCCAAAGACAAACCAAAGACGACGCTGCTTAGATTAGAGGACCGGAACACCTAGTGATGTCACAATTCAAGACCAAGCATCGGCTTCAAGTTGCAGACGCATCTAACGAAGAACCCAACCAAAAGCAATACACAAGTCCCCAACCCCACCAATGACAGCTGAGCCTCAGCATGCAAACCCTAGCTCCCGGCCCCGACTTCGCATGTACGATAGGGCTTTGGGGTAAAATGTCATATAGTTCTGCAATGTTACAGTTGGACTACAGTCTGTAAGGGTGCACTGCTTCCAGGCCCTCCAAAGCCTAAAGCCACAGCTCGGCAAACCCTGACAAACGCCATAGGAACT